ACAGCGCTGGACTCAAATCGACCACATCGCCATAAGCCACCGCTTTAGAGGATCCATTGAGGACTGCATCTCCCACTGGTCAACACCCGTGGACTTGGACCATGCTCTTTCACGAGCCAGGTTCCCCCATGCCTGGAAAACAACCGCAATAAAGCGACCGGAAACAGAAGCCCACAATACTATGCCAGGAATAAGTGCAAATCGACCATCGAAGCGGAACTAGCTGATCACCTTTCGGCTCAACCATCAGCCGCAGGACTCAGTGAATACTGAACGGTAATCAAGAAAGCTATGCAAATGTCAATCCAAACAACGGCGGATTCCGGTGTAAAATCAAAGTATAAACAATGGATCTCCACGACCTCGGTTGCCCTACTGGACGCTCTGAAAACCATTCCTTCTGGTGCAAAATACGACAAAGCGTGCAAATCCCTTGATTGCCAACTCATCAAAAATCTGAGGAACGATCGCGAGGGGTGGTGGCTAGGAAAGTGCAGAGAGATGGAGAAGGCTGCAACTATCGGTAATAGTCGCAATCTTTCTCGTTTAATTAGGAGTACGGGTCCATGGAAACTAGGTGTCAGGTAATTAAGGAATCTGACGGCGCATTGATTCATAATTAGCAACGCCGTCTAGATCGATGGGCAGAACATGTTTAGGCACAGTTCAGCTGACCCTCGTCGACACAACCTCCCTGTATCTGCTTCAACTGGTCAAATACTGCCAGTTGACATCAGTCCTCCATCTGAAATGGAGTTCACCCTGGAAGTAAATTACCTTAAAAGGAATGTTTCCGGGCCCGACAGGTCTTTTCCATCGGTTTTTAAGGATGAATATCCAGTCTTGGGCTTGGAGTTAACGACACTCCTGAGCTCAGTGTGGGAAAGGGAACAGGTTCCAAATTAATGGTGTGAATCGGTGATCATACCGATTTACAAGAAAGATGACAGATCCTCCTAAGAAAACCACAAAGGAATTGGTTTGATCAACATCGTCCCTAAACTTCTCGCTGGTATTATACTCCATCAATTGTCTGCCACACGTGTCAGCCAAGCTGGTTTTAGTCCTGGCCGAGGTTATACAGACCACATTTTCACTCTTCGTAGACCCACCATTTCTATCTTCCTCCATCTAAAAGCGGTTTGCAACAGTCGACCGCTCAAAACTTTGGCGCGGCCTCTTCGGTATGGTCGGGGGTGGGTGTACAGGGTTCCGACTCGTGAAATGCGCCCATACGATCAAGCGTCTCAGCCTCTGCTGGGGAAGCCCTTCTCACTGCCCTCTCGCGGCGAAGATGTTTCCCCACCAAAGTGAGAGGACGGAAATCCGATATCCGGGG